ACACTTAAACTACCGAACACCGCTGAAAAGCTGCTGCCTACCTTCCTTTTCGACAAGGCATGCGAACGTCGGTCGTTCGGGAGTTTTATTCATTCATATGGACTTTCACCCCGACAGCCATCCCATGGAGTCATTCGTATACCGAAGGACTGGTGCAGGACTTTGACTCCATGGCGATTCGACTGGATATATCGGATCTGAGCGCTATTCGGTGAAAACATGCCCTCAGATCCAGGCTGTCTGGGGATACGTTACACGAACCATATGCATTCGGTATTTCTGTAGTTATGCATTTTAATGTCTTTGTGTTACTGTAAATTAAGATGGCGATGGTCTCTACCTTGGGAGATAATTAGGTTTCTTCCCCAATTATCTCCAAGGTAAAGAAGACGGAATTATGGGCAAGATGGGAAGGGCTACTGTTGAAGCCACTGCGATTGGCTACTGTACAATATGTGTTACAGTCTTCCACAAGGTCCCCTCGGGGAGTGTCCACCTTGTGGAGACCTGCATAAATACCGGGCAGGTAGCCCCATTAAACAGATCTTCATTTGACCCTCAAGACGGAGCTTGGTCTCGTTTGTGGGGGGAATTATTACTGGGACAGCGCTTTCGTTATTTCTAGCTGTGGAAGGCGTTCGACTGTTTGGCTGATCGGGAGTTGCCGTGTTCGCGGACTTCGTTCGGGAGTTTGGCGATCGGCTGGATTTAAACCTGCATTTCTGGAGAAGGGGATTATTGCCTAAACGGCGGCTTCATCTACCCGACGGTACGTGTCGTAACAATTGGTGGCAGCGGTGGGATGAATCCTACAGCCCAGAAGGCCAGCTACACATCCCAGGTTGGAAATGCAGTATGAGGAATTAAGGCGTGCTACCCTTAAAGATATATTGGAACGCAGAGGACGATCAGCGAGTAATCTCAAGAAAAGAGAGATTATTGCCATACTATTGGAAATGGATGCAGCACAGGGAACGGGAAGAGCTGATGTGCCTGGCATACTGGAGTTAACACCCGAGGAGATACAGTTTAACCGGCAGTTCAGATCAGGCTGGCACATTTTGGCCCCAACCCCGCAGCAGATATTGTGGTGCAAGTACAAGCGGCAGTAGCAGCACAACAGGCGCTTCAAGGAAGAGGCGCTGCAGCAGCTGAGGTACCGTATAATAATAATGGAAGGAGAAAAGTACCTTTTGCTGCATTTCGGAACTTTGTAGAAGCCGAAGGAGAAATTGATGGGTTCTTGGCGGACTTTGAAAGGCAATGTGCCTTGCACCAGGTACCCGCAGGAGAATGGGTCCCCATCCTCTCTGGGAAGTTATCCGGCCGGGCCAGTGAGGCGTTTCGGGCCATCCCAGAGGAGGAACTTACCAGCTACAGGGCAGTGAAAGATGCCCTTTTGGCCAGATACGCTGTGACCCCTGAGGCATACCGGCGGCGATTCCGGGACACTAACAAGCAGGCGACCTTCTCCCAAGAACCTGGTTACACTACCCTAGCTGTACACAAGGTAGAAACCCCTGGACAGAACCCCCTGCGACAACCCCCTTACCGTATCCCTGAAGCAGTCCGGGAAGGAATGCGGAAGGAGATACAGGAGATGACCCAGCTGGGGGTCATCGAACACTCCGATAGCCCTTGGGCCTCGCCTGTAGTCCTGGTGCCCAAGAAGGATGGGACCACCCGGTTCTGTGTGGACTACAGGCGCCTCAATGAGCGGACCACCACTGACGCCTACCCGATGCCCCGGGTAGATGAATTGTTAGATCGCATTGCCAGGGGACGCTATCTGACCACCATAGACCTGTGCAAAGGCTACTGGCAGATTCCCCTGGCCGAGGATGCTATCCCCAAGTCGGCCTTCGTCACCCCATTTGGCCTGTACCAATTTAAGGTCATGCCATTTGGGATGAAGAATGCCCCGGCTACCTTCCAGCGCATGGTGGATAGACTTCTTGATGGATTCCAGGAATTTGCTTGTGCATACCTGGATGACATTGCGATCTACAGTGAGTCCTGGGAAGAACACCTAGTACATGTAGGGGTGGTGCTGGACAAGATTCGGGCTGCTGGCCTGACATTGAAGCCAGAGAAGTGCCATTTAGGCATGGCTGAAGTGCAGTACCTGGGTCACAGAGTAGGGTGTGGGAGCCAGAGGCCAGAGCCAGCCAAGATAGAGGCAGTTGCTAACTGGCCCACACCTATCACCAAGACCCAGGTGTTAGCCTTCCTAGGGACAGCAGGATACTATAGGCGCTTCGTCCCCGACTACAGCTCTATTGCTAAACCCCTGACTGACTTGACCAAGAAGAATCTTCCTAAGCAGGTCCTGTGGTCTCCGGCTTGTGAAGCTGCGTTCCAAGCACTCAAACATGCTCTTGTGAATGCCCCTGTCCTGGCTGCCCCAGTCCCTAACAAACGTTTTCTCGTCCATACAGATGCTTCCATGTATGGACTGGGGGCTGTGCTGAGCCAGGTCGGGGAAGATGGAGGAGAGCACCCTGTCGCATATCTGAGCAGAAAGTTGTTACCCAGAGAAGTGAGTTATGCGGCAGTGGAGAAGGAATGTTTGGCTCTGGTGTGGGCATTGAAGAAGCTAAGCCCGTATTTATATGGACAAGAATTTTCCCTTGTGACGGACCACAATCCCCTTGTCTGGCTTAACCGGATCTCTGGAGACAATGGCCGACTGCTGAGGTGGAGTTTAGCACTACAGCCCTATAACTTCACCATCACTTATCGACCCGGCAAGCAGAATGGGAACGCAGATGGATTGTCCAGGCAAACCGACATCCTCACCCCATCTTAGTCCGGTCATCCCCACGTTGACCCGCTAAAGGGTCAAGCCGGGTCTGCCGGAGTGTCCTACAAGGGGGGAGCCGTGTGACAGATTCATCTGCATTGTTGGTTCGTCTGTTTCCCTTTGTTCGCGGAATTGCCGGTTCCTATACCCCCGTTCGTGTATTTGCAAAATGCCGATTGAAACTACCGAACGAACGGCCACCCAGGAGAGGAGTGTGCTGCTGGTTAACCCCTTGGCCCCAATTAGAACGTTGTGGTTAACCGCAGACACCTCTCCATTCCATTCGTACGGGTGGTCGTCGTTCGCATGTCGACCACGAGGCAGCGGCCATTTTGGGACATACGAACACCGAGCGGTGTTCGGTACAAACTGTATGGAACTAAAAGCGGACACTTAAACTACCGAACACCGCTGAAAAGCTGCTGCCTACCTTCCTTTTCGACAAGGCATGCGAACGTCGGTCGTTCGGGAGTTTTATTCATTCGTATGGACTTTTACCCCGACAGCCATCCCATGGAGTCATTCATATACCGAAGGACTGGTGAGAGACTTTGACTCCATGGCGATTCGACTAGATACATCGGATCTGAGCGCTGTTCGGTGAAAACATGCCCTCAGATCCAGGCTGTCTGGGGATACGTTACACGAACCATATGCATTCGGTATTTCTGTAGTTATGCATTTTAATGTCTTTGTGTTACTGTAAATTAAGATGGCGATGGTCTCTACCTTGGGAGATAATTAGGTTTCTTCCCCAATTATCTCCAAGGTAAAGAAGACGGAATTATGGGCAAGATGGGAAGGGCTACTATTGAAGCCACTGCGATTGGCTACTGTACAATATGTGTTATAGTCTTCCACAAGGTCCCCTCGGGGAGTGTCCACCTTGTGGAGACCTGCATAAATACCGGGCAGGTAGCCCCCATTAAACAGAGATCTTCATTTGACCCTCAAGACGGAGCTTGGTCTCGCTTGTGGGGAATTATTACTGGGACAGCCAGCTGTTATTTCTAGCTGTGGGAAGGCGCTCACTGTTTGGCTGATCGGAGTTGCCGTTCAAGTGACTTCGCTCGGGGAGTTTGGCTGCATCGCTGGATTTAAAACTCTGCATTGGAGAAGGGGATTATTGCCTAAACGGCGTGCTTCTTTATCTACCTCGGGACGGTAATGTGTAACAGTGACTATGACTCTTTTATGTATCTGGCTTTAAAGCCCCTAGTCTACCTTCAGACAGACTATTTATGTAGGCTGCTTTATTTATCTTATGTTTTAGTCACCCTGTACCCATTATAGGTGCAGGGTGTGTGTAATATAATTGTTTATAGTGTGTGTGTGTGTACTGTGTAATGTATTGCCTGCTCTCTTGTACTGCTGAGGTTTGCTACCAACTAGGTGGGTTTGGCTATGGAGCTTGTCTAGTGCCCTCTGTTGGTAGCAACAGCAATATGCACTACCTGAATAGCAAGACTGGTTCATTTGCATATTTGGATAGATTTGCATATTGCTAATTCTGCAGACACGTGAGGTATTTTCTGTTAAATATTGTCTCCCCCACCCCTTTAAAATGTGCCATTGTGTTGTGATAAGTCACTGTGTGTTGCCTGCTATGGTTTGACTGTTTTTGATTTTATTGAGGTTTCACAACAATATTATTGTGGTGACCCTATGGTCTGGTCCTAAGGGAAATAAAGTTTTAGACAGATCTTCTTGACCCTCAATACGTAGCCTTGTCTCGTTATTGGAGGGAACTGCTATATCACACTGGGGATTGCTATGCTCTGCAAACTCCCCTGAGCTTTTAATCACTTAGCTCTTTTAAGAGCTGTTCCTGTTTTGCTCTCCTGGAGTAGAGGTCTTCCCCACACGGTCCTGGAGGACAGAAGTGGAAGGAAGACGGCGAGACTCCAGTTAAGCTATGGCAGTTGTGGAGTCTGTGGTGGTTGTGGTGTCTGCTGCAGTGTTTGGAGTCCTCAGGAAGCGCTAGGAGCATCCATCACCGGAGGGTACTCCGTCGGAGTACAGGGAGCTCCGTTACAATAATCATGGGAGGGGAACTGGGTCTGCATTGTCTCCCGTAATCATGGGAGGGGAGCTGAGGTCTGCATTGTCTCCCCTCTCTCACTAGTGATAAGCGTGGGAGGGGAGCTGGGGAGAGGTCTGCATTGTCTCCCCTCTCCCACTAGTGATAATCATGAGAGGGAAACTGGGGAGAGGTCTGTATTGTCTCCCCTCTCTCACTAGTGATAATCATGGGAGGGAAACTGGGGAGAGGTCTGTATTGTCTCCCCTCTCTCACTAGTGATAATCATGGGAGGGAAGCTGGGGAGAGGTCTGTATTGTCTCCCCTCTCTCACTAGTGATAATCATGGGAGGGAAGCTGGGGAGAGGTCTGTATTGTCTCCCCTCTCTCACTAGTGATAATCATGGGAGGGAAGCTGGGGAGAGGTCTGTATTGTCTCCCCTCTCCCACTAGTGATAATCATGGGAGGGGAGCTGGGGAGAGGTCTGTATTGTCTCCCCTCTCCCACTAGTGATAAGCATGGGAGGGAAACTGGGGAGAGGTCTGCATTGTCTCCCCTCTCCCACTAGTGATAATCATGGGAGGGGAGCTTGGGAGAGGTCTGTATTGTCTCCCCTCTCTCACTAGTGATAATCCTGGGAGGGAAGCTGGGGAGAGGTCTGTATTGTCTCCCCTCTCCCACTAGTGATAATCATGGGAGGGAAACTGGGGAGAGGTCTGTATTGTCTCCCCTCTCTCACTAGTGATAAGCGTGGGAGGGAAACTGGGGAGAGGTCTGTATTGTCTCCCCTTTTCCACTAGTGATAATCATGGGAGGGAAACTGGGGAGAGGTCTGCATTGTCTCCCCTTTTCCACTAGTGATAAGCATGGGAGGGAAGCTGGGGAGAGTTCTGCATTGGCTCCCCTCTCCCACTAGTGATAAGCATGGGAGGGGAGCTTGGGAGAGGTCTGTATTGTCTCCCCTCTCCCACTAGTGATAAGCGTGGGAGGGGAGCTTGGGAGAGGTCTGTATTGTCTCCCCTCTCCCACTAGTGATAAGCGTGGGAGGGGAGCTGGGGAGAGGTCTGCATTGTCTCTGTCTCTCTCTCCCTCTGTCTGCCTTGCTCTCTGTCTGTCTCTCTCTCTCACTCTCTCTCTCTGTCTCTCCCTCTCTCTCCCTCTCTGTCTGTCTCTCGCTCTCTGTCTCTCTCTCCCTCTGTCTGCCTTGCTCTGTCTGTCTCTCACTCTCTGTCTCTCTCTCCCTCTGTCTGCCTTGCTCTGTCTGTCTCTCACTCTCTCTCCCTCTCTCCCTCTGTCTGCCTTGCTCTGTCTGTCTCTCACTCTCTCTCCCTCTCTCTATCTCTCTCACTGTCTGTCTGTCTCTCCCTCTCTCTCTCCCTCTCTGTCTGTCTCAGTCTCTCTCTCCTTCTGTCTGTCTCTCTCTGTCTCTCTCTATCTCTCCCTGTCTGTCTCTCCCTCTCTATGTCTGTCTCTCTCTTTGTCTCTCTCTCTGTCTCTCTCTCCCTCTGTCTGCCTTGCTCTGTCTGTCTCTCACTCTCTCTCCCTCTCTCTATCTCTCTCACTGTCTGTCTGTCTCTCCCTCTCTCTCTCCCTCTCTGTCTGTCTCAGTCTCTCTCTCCTTCTGTCTGTCTCTCTCTGTCTCTCTCTATCTCTCCCTGTCTGTCTCTCCCTCTCTATGTCTGTCTCTCTCTTTGTCTCTCTCTCTGTCTCTCTCTCCCTCTGTCTGCCT